TAATGGGGTATTTGCTTTTCCACCAACTGTATTATTTCCTAGGATATAATAGCCATCAATCAGTATGCAAATATTTAAATTAAAAATACAAAAATTGTCTTTAAACAAGTATCACCCCAGTATTTCCATAACTTTCATTTTACATATTCCCTTCAAGAATACCACATGCTACATAACTTGCCTGTGATATTGGTAACAGCATGTGGGTTGATTTTACCTTCGTCACAGAACACAATCAGCTGGTCAGTCTGGTTTCCTTCAAAGCAATGTACTTGCTTGGCCACGACTTGTGTGATCCTACGCAATCCACTGCACTTCCCTTAGTCATATTAGTGAAAAGAAGAAAATAATGCAGTCCTTGGGTTGGTGTAAAAATCCAGTGAATTACATATTTTTAAAATCTTGGACATACTAAACCTCAGTAGAGGCTTTGTTGCATTCTCTTTGTTATGTTTTATGGTGGTTTATGAGAAATAGGATGGGAAGAAGATGTTATGAAGATTGTACCAATAGCTGGAAAATTCCCCTTTCCACCTGCTCACAGGGCCCCTCAGCCCACCTCACATGAACTTGACTGTTACTACAGGGGAGCTGAATGAAAGCAATCACCCTCTGATGATGCTTTTTAAAAAAATAAATAGCAAGTAAATGAATCCTCATGAGTTAACTGTTAGTGAAATTAATGAATTATCCAGTCAACCAATCGATCAACATATCAGTAACCACAATTCTGAGGGTAGAGTAACATCAGGAATTGAGTGGAGTTCTTTCTTTGATTTCTATTGAGAAACATAAGGTGTCTGCTGCTTAAACTATTAAATGGAACCAGTTCTCCTTTTGTAGGGTTGATAGGATTAAGTCAGAGAATATGTGTGAAGGCCCAATGTAAACACTAAATCACTTTGCAAACTAACGCTAGTTCCTTGCCTAAAAGTATCACTGTTGGCCATTTCATCCATTATTTCAGATCCAACGTCCTTGTTCTAGTCTGTTCGCCAGTTATTTATAAGACTCTGGAATCAGGCACTGAAAGCTGAATAACATCATTCCAGTGTTTCCACATAACTCATCAGTTCTTGGGGTCACCAACTTCTCAGCTTAAAATCACCTTTCAGATGTTTCTAAAATATTAAGCCTTGATATAGTCATCATTTTCTGCATATATATTTTTAGAGCCTGTAAGGAATACATGAAGACAGTCAAAGTTGTTACAAATCTTTCCTGGATGTGGCTGATCGGGTGCATCAAGATGGATTTCACAGTTATATATCTAGGGGAATGTTTAGAGATAAGATGAAAGCAGGCTTCATATTCATCACACATTGTATATCTGACGTCTACCTCCCCCTCAGCCTTTAAATCAATGGCATCTGTTTCTTGCTATTTAAGTGTGCTATTACTTTTTACATTAAAAAGCAGTTAGTGCTAGACACCACAGCCCTATTTGATTAAAAAATAATTAACTAGAGTTATATTCATGCTGTGCATCATGGCAGTTTAAATGAGGATTTCAATATAGGAAGGAGACTTACTTTATTTCTACAACAGAGCCAGCTTAGCTGGGAGGCTTTTTGTTGTTGTGATGGATGCTGACATGAAACAGTTATTTTTGCTTTGCTGCTCTTAATTTCTACATTGAATAGAAAAGCTCAATACTGCAGAGTGGTCAAGTCTGGCAATAGAATCACAAAGCAGCTGGACCTTTATGCAGCCCCAGGGTGTCTTTCTCATGAAGTCAGGGATGCATCATTGTTTTCATGCCCCATATACTCTGGGAATCAATTCTTATGATACAGCTCTACAAGAAATTTTTATTGTATAATTATCATCAGATAATGTAATGGAGCTCATTGATTGATTAGTGCATTCTTTCTCAGAAGCAGAAGGAAATTTACTTACAAAGTCAAATTATTATTTGAAATTGCTCAGAAGCAGGAAATGTGACATGTTAGTGTAAGTTTGATGGTACTACTCAAAGATTTTTTTCCCATTTTGTGAATAAAATAAGGTTTAACAGAGTATAAATTACAGCATCGCTTTTTTAAGTTTAGTAAGTCATATCTCTATCTATACTTACCTGTCTGTCTGTATACCAGGTAAACTAAACAATATGTTAGCAACACAAATATCTTGCATTCTAGCAACTGTTCCTCATTTTATGACCAACTGTTCACAAATAGTTGTCACACAAGTGGTCCTTCTATGGATGACACTTTGAGCAACATTGGTTCTTTGCCTTAGAATTATGTTGGGACAGTTTTAAAAATATATAATGTCCTATTATTTGCACTTGGAATTTTCTAGAATGTTGTACTTCATATGAATTTAAAAATTCTTCACATGTAGTTTTGGCAAACTCTCAGGGTTTTGCAGGTAAATATAAAGTGTATAGAGTTGCTAAGTAGTGCTAAGCCATATTGGCTAGTGGATAAGAATGTTAATCTATGTAAAAGAAAGTTATTAAAATATAAAAAGTTAAAAAAAAAAGAATGTGGAGTTTGAATGATTGAGTTCTTGCTTATCTGGAGTCAGATAGAGGTTTTAGGGGTTCCCAAGCCTCCAGGGTCTCATCTCTAAAGAAGCAAAGCAAAGGAAGTGTCTGGGAGTTTACTGTTATAAGGTTTTGTCCTATAAATAGAAAGAGTTTACCTAGCTCAGAGTCTGCTGTGTAAAGGCTACTACTGATCAACATTAGCTATAATAGTTCATGTCTTTACAATGGAAACTTACCTGTTATTTTATGGGATATTTATAAAGAGCTCTAAATTTCCTGAACAAAAAAAGACAGACTGCTAATGTTTGCCTGTCAGAGGCTCCTCATGCTAAACATTTATCAAATGCAGTAGTCCAATATTCTTTTGATTATGTTAAAACCATAGATCAATGTGATTGAAGGGAGAAAAAAAAAAAAAAAAAAAAAACCTCTGCTCCTCAGGGGAAATTATTGGATCATGCAACTTACAAGTGAAGTCCAGGGGTCAGTCTGATGAAAAGTGTGCCTGGATTCAGGACTGGAGCTATTTTCCATCTGTATCATATGGCTTCCCAGTCTATTATCTATCTCCCTATCTGACTTTTCCCCCCTAAGGAAAACTAACTTTAAGCTAGCTTTTCTAGAGTGATGCAAAACTCAGCATCACCAGCAGCAGGCATCTATATTACCAGGTTCAGAACCACAGAGGCAGAAGACATTTTTGTCGAAAGTTGTTTGACAAAATTCCAGAACTGAGGCTTAGTGGCCTTCATTACAATACCTTTCCATTTTTCAGCATTTCACATTCCAAAGTAAAAGCAGAACACTCTGGTTTGTCAGGTTCAAACATGAACAGAACACATCCCAGAGGTATGATTAGAGGACTCTACCCAAAACATCTGTTCTTGAAAGAGGCAAAGATAATATCTCAAAAGACAGTAAAGGGATTGTCCTTAGGAACATGGATTCCAAAATGAGAGCTATTGCCTGCTTTGACTCAGCCTCTTGTCCTCGGCTTCTCCCCTAATGTTGAAATAGGGTAATTCAATTGGAATAAAGTCGAAATTTGGCTCAGAAGCCATATATTTTGCTAAAGTAAACTTTTAGATATTTTATGACCTGTTATGCATTTGTAATGAAGGAGGGTTGGCTAATACTGATAAAGATCAAGTTCAGAATTTCTAAACAACAATAGAAGTTTGATTCTATTTTTGCTTATTTGGTAGAGGGTCATATTTGATAAATAGAAATAAGAAATGGATGATGCTAGAAAAAGAACTGCCAAAGTTTCATAGAAAGCACTTTACACTAGACAGAATTTATTGCATGATAATGATACTACTGATTGTAGAATATGGATGTATTATAGTTCACTGAATCAGTAAAAAACCACGTAGCTGCTAATGATTGGGGCTCGGCTTGCTAAGTATGACTTGGCAAAACAACCAAGTGGTTTGAAGTGTTGGTATGAGACTTAAGGACTTCAGTGCTCAAGTCCAAGTCTGGCTGTTTTTGTGGTATGTAGCCTTGGACCTGATGCTTTTGGGATGCCTTTTTCTTATATGTGTAATTAGGTAAGAAAATATAGTCACCAAACAGCAGCGGGGGAGACCTAAGCACTCTGACAAGGAGGTGTCAGTTTCTTCTGCATTTCTCAAGCAAAGCCTATGCTGTCTCGTTCTCCCAGGTGCCTCACAAGCTCCCCCGTAGTAAGACACTTAATAATTCTTGTTGGCCCCTGTGGTACTATTTGTTTTATAACCATCATGTTCTCTGAGATGGTATCATAAAGGAATAAATCCTACCCAAGGCGAGAAGGGAAAATGGTGCTTTATAAGCTGAACTTTCAATGCCTATTTTTGAACTTGCCGAGGAACGTGGAAAATGGTCAAAGCTAGCTCTCTGGATCTGCATGTCATTTCCTACATCATTGCTGAAATGTCAGTTTGTCCTGAAGGCTTTCATCATAGGCACGCACCTGCCGTCCTGCTTCCTGTCTCCTTACTCCAGTGCAACATGCTTTATTTATCATTATGGAAGTGGAAGTGGGATGCTGAACTTTTCTGGGATGAGTACTCAGCATGGTACAATAAAAAGACAGAGAACTGAGATTTACCTTGAAATTGTTTGTTAACTTCCTGCATTCTTACTAGGTAACCTTAAGCTTTATCACTGGACTTTTTCGAATCACTTTCCTCAACTATAAAATAAAATAGAACAAGAAAACTGATGACCCCTTTCATATCTTTGCTGTATTAAATGAGATGTCAACAACAGGAAAGCAGGATCTGAGTGCAGATTTTTATTATGATTGTGATTTTCATCTGTATGTGTCCGTACATTAAGAGTTTGCTAACAGCTGGATTGGTGTGTTTCTGCTTCCATTTCTCAATTCCCTGAAATGCAGAAGATTCCTGCCAGATGGCTGGTCTGCCAGCTGTGCCTTGTTTTGTCATTGTAAATACTGCATGCCCCAACTGGAAGGCTTTGCTTATAATGCAGCATGCCTTGAATTTATCTCTTGCAGCTTGAGAATTACATTGTGGAAAATATGAAGTCGGAGATGGCCCAGATACAGCAGAATGCGGTTCAGAACCACACGGCCACCATGCTTGAGATAGGAACCAGTCTCCTGTCTCAGACTGCAGAGCAGACCCGAAAGCTGACAGATGTTGAGACCCAGGTATGTCCCCAGGGCCAGAGTCCACACACTAAACCAGAAGATTTTTATTATTATTATTATTATTATTATTATTTGATTGATTGATTACATGCATATAGAGGTGGAGGTCAGAGGATAACTTGCAGGAGTTGGTTCTTAATTATTATTATTAATTATTCTCTAGTTACTCCATAAACACAGAGCATATGTCAGCATGAGGTCCGAGGAAACATACATTTTTGTTTATTGGTAATAACAACAATGAGTGTCTGACAAGCTACGCATGGGTTGTTTTTTTTTTTTTTTGTCTTTATGGGGGTTATATATTTAGCTTTGTATGCATTTGCAAAAACAGAGCTGGCAAAGAACCTAATTAGTATTAAGTTGAAATAAATACTGCAGCTACCAACTCTGATATTATTTGCGTCAAGCAAAACAGCCATGTAGGTCCAACTGGTGCCTGTGGTGAGCAATTTGACCTGTCTTGCTATATCTCTAGCAATGCTTTAGCCACAGGCTCACACCCAGTGGTCTTATGTATTTAGTGAAATTAAGGAAAACCCAAGTGCACTGAGCAGGAATGAACATGAGTCAGCATGTGCAGACATATTCAAGTACAAATCAATACAAAGCAAGAATGCTTTTCAATTGTCACTGTCATAAATACACTCTTGAAAATATCATATCCTATCTCTACAATGAGATCACTTAGTACCTGTTAGCTATGGACATTTTAATTCCATTTAGTATTCTGTCTCAGTGTAGCTGATTTCTATTAAGCCTAAAATTTTGCATGGGCAAATATCCAAACACAAAGTGGTGAAACCTAATTACTACTTTATTTAACCTGTCATCACTAACTCCATAGATCATATATTGATATTTAAAGAGAAATCGCAAAGATGACTTCTCTAGGTACAAAGTATACGTATAAAAAACACTTAAAATCTGTAGATCAGGAGATGTAGTGATCTTTCTCACTAACACAACTAATGAATAAAATTTAGGATTCAAACTCTGCTGTCCTCATTTCATTTCTTTTCCATTGATTAGTGTTGCTAATTCTCAACTAAAGAAACAAGAACTTAAATGCTGATTGTATTGGAGGAATAAATCACATAGACTTTGGAAAATACTTTTCTTTGTGTCTCATTATAAAAATAAATATGGAAAATGGGAAGGGGGAACTACATAATATAACTCAATAGAATCATTTATTATCACACAAAGCAAGTATGCTGATTTACATACAGTTGGTTTTCTCTCTCTCTCTCTCTCTGGATCTCCCTATAACCTGTATTCTCTTTGTATACATTAGGAGACTGTGTTTTCTTTTATTTAGATAAAAATGCTTACCATCTGCTACCAAACATTTTCACATGTTCAAACACTGAAACACTGGCTAGTGAGATGGTTCAGTGGGTAAAGGCACAGTCTGCCAAGTCTGATGACTGGAGTTCAATCCCCAGAACCCACATGGTGGAAGGAGAGAACTGTCTCCACCAAGTTATCTTCTGACCTCCACACATATGCTGTGGCACACGCATATGCACAGCCCCCATACACACATGTGCACACACACACACAAACACACACACACAGATTTTTTTATTATTTTTATATTCCTCCAAGACCTTTTTGTTTTTGTTCTCCTCTCTCCTAGCATGAGTTGGAGTTGTGGAGGAAAATTTCCTATGGTTATCGTTTTAATCTTCAAACTGTGAATATTCATGCTATGCAAGGTTTTAAAAGTAACAACTGGTTCTGCATTCCTGTGTCTGGGAGATAGGCCCTTTATAGAAGAGAGTACAGCAAATTCAAAGAATAAAGAAAAAATAAAACTCCGTATGTGGAACAGTGAAAATTTATCATTAAAAGCGAGCTAAATTTTTCTGGATATAGCAAGAACGATTTTAAGACAAATCCTTCAGTGCTAGCAACTAAAGAAGAAAATAATCACTCGAAATCCTTCAGTGCTAGCAACTAAAGAAGAAAATAATCACTCGTTATAATCTCCCTTACAAAGTGAAACTCGTATGTTCTTTTCATTTCCATTTTAACATCTTACAGTTGTTGGCTTTATGTAGCTATGGTGCTCTCAACCTTTCCATGCAAGTGTAGATCCACATGCTGCAACTTTTAACTGTAGGGTCAAGTTACAAAATTAATTCTGAAACCTCAATACATTTATGTACAATTCATTCATAAGAAGAACTTGACAAATAGATAGATCCTTCTGAATGGTCCAAGTCTGACCTCATGATTTTGCCCTGATATTCTCCTAACTTGGCCTCAAACGTCCAAGTTTTGCTTTATCTAAAACTGGCTTCAGGCTCTCAGTTATTTCTGAATCACATGACGATGGCCTCGCTGGCCATTTAAGTGCCCTTGCTCTCCCATGATGATGTTTTAAAGATAAGTAGCTTATTACTTTCTAGTCTTCTGTTGGCCTTCTAGATCTGTGCTTTCACAAGAGATTGGAGGACCATGGCTTTGCTGCAATGCAAACAATATGACCAGAAAAGAATTGCATAGTAAACACATCTAAAAACCCTACTGGCAATGGAGGCAAGAATGGGAAACCAACAGCAAAACCTTCCCTTCCTCCACACTCAGCACAGCACTATTCGCACTGGTATCCATTTCTGCAAGCATCTCTTTCCCTTCAAGTTCTCTCTTCAAGGGTGTATGAAGGAGTTAGTATTAGGAATTACTTAGGTCTCTTTCATATTATATAGTTTTGTTCTCACTTTTTCCTCAGCAAATTTGATATAAGGGGAATTACTGGATCAACAAACTGAACTAAACTGGACCTCTAATGATCTTCTTGTTGCTTTTCTAAACAATCTGACATCTATTGACTCTTTAATAAGTTTTATAAAGTAGATGCTTTTCATTTCTTGTTTAAAGATGAAGAAACCATAATACAGAATGCTGGAAAAATATCCCAATGAAATAATCAGAGAATGTTGAAATAAGAACTTACAATTTGTCATCAAAGTCCACATGCTTGTCATCTCTTTCTGTGGTTCTTCTGTTTCTTTAAGACTTTAATGCAATATAATGTGTCTAAGTAGAGTGCAAGATGGAAACCAGGGCACACAAAATGTCACTCAGACATTAGCAGTACTGACTGTTTCTTATATATCATGAAGAAGCAGCTGCTTCTCTGCTGGTGTTAATGGCAGGCCCACCTACTCACTCCATTTTCCCATGTGCTCTAGACATCACCATATGTTTCCTCAGCCCTGTCTTGACACCTATCAGCCACGTTAACTATAGGAAAGTTCTTTAGACATGCTCCCTATTCTTTCTCCAGTCTCCAATAATTTCTAGCACTGGAGTATTAGAAATGGCATTTAATCAAATTTGAACTGATCTTTTAAAAATATTTCCACCATGCAAAATGTTCTAATAGGTGCTATGTAGAGTACAATAATGCCCACAACAGTCTTTATGTCCAGTGAGTTTGTGATAAAACATTTCTTGATCATTTCTCTTTTCATTTTCTGTCAAACTAATTAGCTATAGAAGCTTTCCTAGCTTCCATCAAAACATACCTTTCTAATCTACTGTGGGAAGTACAATTGCCCAGTTTCCCAGGCTGATGTGCTGTAAAACCCATCAGGTATTAGTACAGAGACCACAGTACTCAGCAGCCACTTCTGGGCAATGTTTCACTGTGGCAGGGTACTTAGTTTGTTCCCAGGAGCCATGGAACTGTGCTGACACAGGGCTTTGCCTAAGTGTACCCCATTGCTTTGCTGAAAGTAATTACAGCTGTCTTGAGACTGAGATTTCTGTCCAACACTACTTCCTTTCTTTGTCTTCTTCACTGAGGTGAAAATTGCACCCTAATCTAAAGGCTCTCTGCCTCTTTTCATGTCTTCATAGACATGTCCCCTAGTACATTTCCTCCATATCTAATCCCGTTTTATCCTTTGCTCCTCAGAGATCACAAACAATCACATCTGTTGTTTGGACTACAGCAACAGTTAGAAATTTCAAGCAGTTCATAAATAGTTTGTTGAATGAGAATGAATTTCTAGGCAATCACAAATTTCTTCTTATGTCTGTTCTCAAAGGCCAGCTCTCAGAATTGAACTATTGTATCTCCTTAAGTTGATGAGAGAATAGTTGAGTAAACTTTTAACATTGGCTTAGCTGAAATTGTGGTAAAATAGATTAGCCAAGGGGTCTTGCAAGAAGAACACATTGGAGATTAATTTCCATAAGCACTGGTATCAGGCTTGGGAAACTATGACTGACTGCTCAAATTTGACTAAATATCTCTTTCTATAAGTAATGCTCTCTTAAACATAGTCACATTTATCTGTACACATATTGTCTGTGGCTGCTTTTCCTGTTCCACAGTAGAGTGTGTATATGAGAGTTATATCAAAGACCCTATGGCCTGTGTTTTAGTTATTTTCTCATCGCTTTGACAAAACATCTTACAGAAGCAACTTGGAGGAAGAATTTATTTTGGCTCACAGTTTGGAAGGACACAGTTCATCATGGTGAGGAAGGCATGGCACCAGGAGTTGATAGCTGGGACTGCTCACATTTCATTGGATCAGGAACCAGAGGGAACAGGGCCATTGAGGTCCCATCTTATACCATCACATAAAGATTCTGTAATCTCTCCAAAACAGTGTCACCAGCTGGAAACCGAATGTTCAAATTCATGAGCCTTTGTAGGACATTTCACATCAAACTATAACAGCACACCAAGCTAAGACATTTACTGTCTGGCCCTATACTGTAAAATCTGGGCAGACCTGCACCCGGATATAACCAGTCCATAGTTTCTTTCTCTTTTCCACTGCTCTAACATGAGGATTTAGATCTGGATGTGATACACAACATACTCTCAATAAATACTAGTTAAGTAACTGAATTAATAATATTAATCCCTTAATATATTTGGAGTTTATCCCAATTATTTCAAGACCAAGAGCAATATCTCAAAGGTTGTGTGTTGATTACAATATAAATGCAAAAATAGATGATGGATCAGA